TGTTGTTGTTGTTGTTGTTGTTCTTTTGGCTCTTCTCAGAGGAGACTGGTGCCGGACCCGGTGCAGGACGCGGTGGGACCCGGTGGGAGACCGGGTCCCCTAATATCCGAAGCGCAGCTCCCGATCTAGCAGCTTCGGGGTGTGAAGGAGGTCATCATAGGTCATCAATGTGGATGATCGCTATGCGAAATCATCTGGACACATGGATGATCCACATGCGGATGATCCCATGTGGATGAAACAAGATCGATCTGGACATGCATGGGTTTTGCCCCGATCGAGCCTGCCAGGTAGCTGATCCTGAAGGCCCATTGGCCGCGCAGTGTGGCGCGGGATGTGGCCAGGCGCAAGGCAGGGGATTTGGTGAGCTGCAGTGGTGAAGATCAAAGAGACTGGAGAGATCACTCCAAAAAGATGGATGCAGATGACGTTGGTCGGAATTGTGTGAATCTAGATTTGGACCGCAATGCACTATAGCCGTAGCCTATAGTTGTGTGTCTGAAAGAGAATTCGAAGACGCCCAATCTCATCCAAGAATTGGGGAGGAATACGCGAACTGCCGATCCAGTCTCCGTGTACGCCTAACGTAGCATGGGCAACGTCAATCTTTTTGAACGAATCTCATGCGCTTTTCACTAATGGACGGTTTTTTCAAGCCAGCGACTTCCCCGACCCAGAAACTGATGTGACCAGTGGGTTTTTTCTTGATCGATCACTTGGTGAAGGTATTTGCCGAAAATGACAATGGAGATGAAATCAGAATGAAATTCCTGAGTCTAGCCTCTATTCTTCTTATACTTCATCTTGAATCCTTTTGCATCTTCTTTCAGGCCGGCCTAAAGCCATTGAGTTCGGCTGTGGCGTGGCCCTGGCTGGCTTGGCGGCTCATGCCATGGGCTATGACACCACACTCACCGACTGTTTACCCGGCCATTTGAAGAACCTCCAGAGCCTCCAGACGAACCCTGTGGACCGCGTGGCGAATCCCGCCGTCGTGGTCCGCCGTGGCGTGACTGTACGCAGTACGCAGGGCAGGCGGAGGGATGGTGGCGATGGGGATGGGGAGTTGATGAAGGCGACTGAAAGCTGTTGGTAATAGATCATCATCTTCATCCTAAGCTGCTGAAACTTTGGGTCTGTACTAGTCTGCACTGTCTGTACTGTCCTCCATCATCATCCAAACGAAACTACTCTTTGCGTTCTTCCTCGACCCCTGGTGGACCGGTCGTGATGGTGGAGGGTCCCAGACACGGATGGGCTTGAGAGATGTTGGGTTCATGTGGACCGGTGGGCAAACCACGGCGCTTGCGGCCTTAGCGAGAAGTTCGCTGATTTGTTGGTTTGGGGGTTACAAAGGAGTTGGGGCCTTAGGACGTTGTGAGCTTGGATTCATCAGTTTGGGGTTAAGGCACCAGTCCGAAGTTGAAGGATGTTGAAGCGGTTTACGCAGGGATCTATTCCTGATCTGATCTCTCCCAAAGGAAAAAGACTACTTGTATCAGACCGCCAAACCTCCAAACGTGCACCCCTGTTTTTTTTCAGCTCAATCACATACCTCCAGCATCTCCTTCCAGCTTCCTCAAATGCTTCGACCTCATAGTCCGCCAAAGAACCTCTACCTCCAACGGGTCCGCAGCTCCGAGGTTTGGACTGGCTCCTGGATGTGGGCCACGCGGCCCACGCGGCCAACCAAACGCGCGACGCGATCGACAGAGGGTCTCCGGAGAACCTGGGAGAAGCTGAGTCTGACACTGGGCCTGGAAAGTTGGAGCTATGTGGATCCTGTTGGCCTGCTGGATGCCCCAAAAAAAACGAACAAACATATTGAAAAATCATCAATGGGAAAGGGCTGGAAAGGGATGGAAAGGGCCCACATGGTGAGGAAACATACACCAGATGAGTATCCAGATACATAAACAGACATCAACCAGTATTGCAATACAATGACTCGTAAGTGAGGGCTTACTCGTGTTCACTTTGCTAGTTCGGATTGGCTCGTATTTGTGGATAGCCATCGTGAACGATGGTTTCTAGGGATCCACTCCACCTCGTTCAACGCCTCTCTTGCGTTTG